ATTTTTCAATCTCCCGTGCTTCCTCAGCAACTTCAACAAAATCCTGCGCGGAACCTGAACCAACGCGTCCACAGTGCACAGAGTGTGATTCAACAATCTGCCGATAAAAAACATGAGAATAATGCTACCAAATTGCGAGTCTCTATTTTAAACCAAAACACGTCAAATTCCGGGAAAAATGATCAATATGAACCGACATCCCCTAGAGAGTTGCTTAATAAGGCCAAGTCAATAGCAGCTAGAAAAGCAAAAAGGGATAGTCGAACGTTCAGCTTGGAGGAGAGAGAACAATTAAAAAACAATACTTTCCTCACTGATGCAGCTAATGTTGGTGATTTGACTGTTTTGACTAGTAATGATGTCACTCAAAAGAAAGACAAGAGAAGAACCAAACTATTTAGCTTAGATGAAATTAGATCTTTAGGAAGTATGAGTCCCTCTGTGTCTTCGACCTCTCCGATTGAGAAGGAAACCGAAAAAGTCTCGACCGACGAGAGCGGGACTTCAAGTAACGATAAACTTTCTATATTTCTTTTTCTCGCATTTATCGTTATGTTTACTCATACATACTCTTGTTGCAAATATAAAGAAACGCATCGTTTAAGTTTCAACACCAATGCCTCTTTTGGTATAGTATTGTAAATTTCTTACAACTCATCATCGGATAAGGGAACAAAACTCAAAACGTTTCTTATTATCACTTTCTAAATTAGACCTTCGTTCGATCGATGAAGAAAACCCCGGCGAATGAAACAATTTCGTTTTAAAAAACGTTCTTATCAAAACAAATACACCTCTTCAATGGTATTTGATTATTATGTTTTAAGACATGACATTTTTTCCTATGACTTCTTTAATACCAATACTACATGCGCCCCATTTATTGTATGTTTTCATTATATGATCTCTCTTTTACATATTTACTATATGTGGATAACCCTATTGATTACATGTAAGAAAAATGATTTATAGTTTAAAATCTCAAACAACAAATATGATATAATATGCAGTATACTCACATATGGCATCTTTATCTCAATAAATTTATTATTTATAAAAAAAAACAATTGATTTTTTCATAATAGTTGCTTTAAAAAAATACCTTCATCTCTTTTATTTTTATATTTTATGAACAATAAACTCAAAAATAAAAGAATTTTAAAATTTAATATTACATTAGAATAAAATTTCTAATTGAATAATAAATAAACAAGTTATAAAGTTTTGTCTATTTTTGATTATATAAGAAAGACTTGTGATGACTTTTTTTTATAATTTCTTTATGCTTCTTCAATATTTCGTATCTTTATTCTTATTCTTTATGAACATTAAAAACTTATCTTAACAAAAACAAAATTACTTGAAACAACAATTAATTAAATAATGAGATACTTCTAAAAATTCTTATCAAGAAAAAATTTAACCAATAAGAAAATTTTAAAAATATAAATCAAAACAAAGAAAAATTTTATTAATGTGAAAAAATATCTGAATCTAAGATTGTTTTAAATTTAAATTTGGATAAAGAATTATGTGGGAAAATCAAACAGTTGTTAAATGATTATATGATTAGTGCTTAAACAAAATAGGCATATGGATAATCAATGAAAATCCAGTAAAAACTGAATATAAACAAGGATTTATATTACAGTACATAAAATTTTGAGAATATTAATACATGGATACTTATAATTAATTAATTATTAATGACAAAGAAATTGATTGATGACATGGGACAAATTAAAAATTATAGCAACAAAACAAATATAAAAAGAAAGCAACTGGAAAAAACTGGAAAGAAAATTTAAATAAATTTTAATAATATATTATTTATTTAATTTAACTATACTATTTTATTTTTCTTATATAATATATAGCTTGTAAGTCAAGCTTTTAAAATTTTAACTTGAATTAAACTCAAATTATAAAAATAAAACTTGAGATTGACTCTTCAAGTTTTATATCAAGCTAGTTCTAATTAATTTAATTTTTTCAAAGTCCTATTTTAAACAGTTTAAAAAAACAATTAAGATTAATTTAATTAATTATCTATTATTATTTTAAGAATCAATGTTATAAATATACAAAATTAATTTATTTTTGGTTAATTAAATCCAAGTTTAAATTAAAAATTATTAAATTATATATTAAAAAAATATTAAATATTTATAAATTAAAAGGTTGATCAAATTATTAAAACATATCAAAAATATATAAAATGACTTACAGTATATAGTAATTTAATATTTTTTAAAATAAGTATTCTTCTTAATCTAAATATTTTTTAATCAAATTTATTTTAAACAGTATTTAGATTGTTTTTGTTTAAAATATATAATAAACTTAAAATCAAAAATACAAAATATATATTCAAGTATATCAAAAATAATACCAAGCAATTATTTAGAGTTTTTGGCAAAAAAAACAATTAA